ATCTTTAGACAATGAATCTCTTCTCCAACTCTGTGAGAAAACCGATTCATCATCACTTCGATCATCCTCGATACTTTTCGCTCTCTCTGTCTCGACCTTATCCTCAATCTACATAACATTTTGTTCAGACATTAGAACAAACAAAATCTAAGAGAGTTTTGATATTTTTATTTCTCTAATCAAATTTGGAATACATCATATTACTTTCAAAGCTGAAGTTTGTCTAAGCAACATGACATTCAGAGCTGTAGAATCCCAATTAATCGAAAACTCTTTGGCAACATCTTTCACTGTCTGAATCTTGAGTTCCCTTGAAGGTCTTCTTCTCAATTCAGTTTTCTCAACAAGCTGCAAGATTTTCAAGAAACACAAGATAATATTGTCAGTCCAAGAAAATGTAGCAAGATTAGACAATTTAGTACAATAAAACCAACCTCATAATTTACAGAAGAATGAGTGAAACTGCCAAATCTTTGCGTAAACACGGCTCGAAGATCTTTAAGTTCAGGAACATCTGGAACCCATGCCGCTGCGTATATCAAAGACGAAACAGCTTCTCTACATTCTTCAGGACATTCCCTAAGCGTATAGGAAACAATTAAAACATAAGTTAGTGAAATCTTAAGACCTTTTGGAGTGAAATCTATAGATTCAAGGAGAAATTAAGAACCTTTTCTTTAACATTTGTGAGAGATTTTCAGAGATACAATCGCAGAATCGCTCGATGATATCATAACACGATATAATTCTAAGCTCTTCGAGTAATATTTCTGCCTGCAGTAACAAGAATATTAACAGATTAAAACAAAATAAACCTCACTAATACAGAGGAAGCTTAGAATTATAATGAGAGAAATAATTAAGAAGTTTTTAATTACCCTTGTATAAGCATTATAATCAAGGCTATTCTTGAGAAAATCCACAATGTCCATTTTCAAAAAATTAACCATTGCAATCCTTTTTTTCCTCACTGTATCTAGTCGAATCTTCATATAACTAGTTGTAGATTTGCTGCATTTCATTTCAACAACAACAAATTCATCAATAACTCAGAAACTTTCAAAAAGAGTTAAGAAATCATTTGACAAAAGAACAAAGAAAGCTAACCTTTTCTTGTAGAACTTGGGTTTGAAGCACCAAAGAAACATGTTCATGTTTTTTTTTAAGATTCTCGAGGCAGAGGAAGGCAAGGAGATCAAAGATTTATATGAAAATCAAGAAGAATCAAATCGGTGGTTTAGTGAATAGAGTTGAAGTAATACTCAGAATCAGAATATATCAAAAGCTATGAAGCAAAGAAACGAACCAAAAAGTTTATTCTAAAGAAAGAGAGAAAAAACTTATGTAAGTCCAAAAGAAGAAGACTTTTTATGAAACTGCTTTGGATATATATAGTCTATATTTATTCTATGAAGCTTATTTTTTTTTTAATATAATAAAGTCTTTAAACTTATGTAACAAGTTTAGTTAATCCTATAGAACAACTTAGTGCACAAGCACTTTAGCTGTAAACTTCCAAGCACCTTCTGTGATACGACATCGTTCTTATCTCTAACCTTTCTTTTTTACATAAGAAAAGTAATTAGACAAAGAAATGTCCTATGATTCCATTCTACGGTCAAAGAAAAAAGTATTTTATTGTGACTTATGTTAAAAAATGACTTCACTTCGGGAATAAAATCAACATAAACAATAAAAAAAAAGAAATCTATATAAATTATGAGAATTATTGTCGTGTTATCATCAAAAATATTAGAAATCCGTTTGTCGTTGTTATTCTTTTTAAGATTTGAAACAACAAGATTTTTTTGGTATTACTGATATGTTATCAAAGAAATTTTTTTTTATTAAATTATTGATGCGTAAAAAATTATTAGTTTTTCTTTGTATTCTATGGAAATTCGGTGATCTAATCTATTGGGAAACATTATCAACAAGACAAAATATTAAAAATGTATTCTCTTTCTCTATTTGTTCAATTACTTTCCACTTTTGTAATTAGTAAATTTCCAATATAAACTTAATTACGAAGAGATGCCCTAATTAACTAATCAGTTCTCTCTTATCTCTCACGAAGAGCTGCAAGACGATCCACCACTTCATCGTAATCCAGAAACTTCGGTCTCCAAAACGACGACGTGCGCTTGTTATCTCTTGTCAAGGACACTTTGTTATGTGGCTTGTGCTTATGAGACTTGCACTACCTTCCGTACCAAGTAACCTCCTCGAGTAGTTTTCTTGATCAATACTCTTCGTGTTCTCTTTGTTCTCCTCTTGAGCCCCTTGTTTCATGTGTGGAGCAGAGATAAATCCGTAAGGAAAATCTTCTTCTTCTT